AAAAAAAAAAAAATGGGAAGAACTATAATACCCATTTTAAGGGATTGCCAAGAGCATCAAATGGTAGATACAGTGAGAGACACTATTTCAGTTTATTTATTGGTGCAAATGTGCTCCAGGCAAGTCCTACCTCTCAGCCTTGCACATGCCCTACCCCACCAGCAGTCTCCCAGCCTTCTCCTTTACCTGACACCTCTTACATTTAATTTGATCCTAAGAGCTCTCCTTGGAGCATCCTTTAACAGCCACCATTTTTTCTCCCCCCACCTCCAGTGCTTCTGAAATTTTAAGCCCTTCACCCAAGTGTTTCCATCAATCCACTAGGTGGGCTACATTCCCCTACTGGAGCAGCCCCCTGCACTCCTCTCCCTACTTAGCAACTCAACTCTTCTCTACTTCCCCCAGCCATGGGTGATGGTTTGTTATAGCAGGACATGGCCCACACAATTGGGGAAAGTGTGAGATCTTGTATAACATGGGTTGTTGGGTTAGACTTAGAGGGAGTAGTATTCTCTGAAATTTAATTCCTGGACCTTTTCCTCTAATATTTAGTTGAGTAATCCAGTTAGCCACTTAATTTCTCTGGAGTGCAGAGAAACTTCATGGGTGCAAAGAACCAATCTAAAGTTAATAAAATATTTGCTTTTGGGGAAAAAAAATCTCAAAACATCAAGGAAAGAAAAAATGTTAAATAAGAACTGCAGTTAGCATTAAGAACCTGGAAAATAGAACGATGCTAGTTAACTTTATAAACACAAAGCACACCTCATATACCTGGGAAGTCTAGAAATATTTAACAGTAACCTCTATGTTGTTCTTTTACGTGTTAAGAGGCTGAGGAGGGAACACTTCTCTCCAGCTCTCCGCTTACCTCTGCAAAAACAAAGGGAGCATCAAACTGGAAGCAGACATGGCCATGCTTGATGGCTTGAACGGAGGCGGGACCACACCGATACATGCCTGGACCACACAGAAGAGAAGCAGAGTGAGTATGTCCAGTTATGTCCAAATGCTGCACAGTTCATAGCCCTGCAGATGGCTCCATAGAGACTAGGGTTCCCAACCTCATCATTGATTTAGTCCGTACACTTTATGGCTAGGGAGGGCAGATAACCAACTGTGGAATCAAGGCAGTTTTGTTGGCAATGCCTTCTCAAACCAAAATTTTAAGCAATGGAAAGTAGACAGGACAACACTATCTCTGCATCTGCTCTGCCACCTACAAACACATGCCAAGTGAGCTGGCGCCATGCAGTTGGCTTACACACGAATTCCTCCTTTCCAACTGGTATCTGAAGTGTTGGAAATGTGTCCTTGGTGGCTGAATTGCTGTTGTTGTTTGTTCTGATTTTTGTCTTTTGCTTCTGAATATGATGGACATATGTCGAGTTTAAATGGAGAATTTGGACATTAACCACGCACACCGGCCAATGCCCAACTTACGGTCAGGGAGTAAGTAGGCACTTGTTACTCTTCTAAAATTCTCTAAATTTTAACCACCTATCCATAGTTAATAAGAGATTAGCTGCCATTAATCACCTCTGAAGTCTTCTCATGATATATAATCCAGAGCATCAGAAAGTGTTGACCTTTCTTCTTTAAAACCCAGTATGATAATATAATCTCATTATCAATGTACAGTGAATGTTTATGCACCTATGCCTACGTGTACACATCAATATTTCATATCAACACCTGAGGAAATAAACATAATATCCCCAGTCCACTGATTTTTTTATGCTATCGTATTAAAGAGAGATAGAGACTCATAATGTGATTTTACAAAAATCTGGAGGAGGTCAGAGCTGCCACTGCTTAGTATCGTTGGCAAGTTAGAAGACAAATATCCACATATGCAAGAGATGGAAAAAATCACACAACATAAAAAGAAATCAGGTTCTGAAAAAACAACAATCTAAAGGGTGCTCTATAATTATTTTTCGAGTTCCCTATTTTCTCTACTGCCTTACATCTTAGCACAGTGAATTGGGGAAGGCTGGAGGATATTTTATAGCCTAGTAAAAATGCTTACAGACATTTTTTCTCCTGTCTTCAAAACTGCTTATCAAAGCAAGAGTAGATGAGTTATACACGTTACATTTTATATTATTTTCCTAAAAGTTGTAAAATAATCAGGGTAAAGCTGACTACTGAAATGAAATTACACCTGATTGGCGGGTAGTTGTACACGTGCCCAAAAAGCACATTTCAGATGTTGGTTCTCAATGGCTGTGGTACCCACGTATTACACGCAATCATAACAGTGAAATAAAGATCAGCCATGGAGAAATAATTCCACTGAGGGAGGATGTAGTTTTACCATCGCTGTTTTCCTGAGGGGTGCTGTCCACAACTTGCCAGCCTCCAAATCCAACAGGAAGGTCGGGCCTTGTCATCCACGCTTCATTCCAGCAATGGTAGTTCCTTAGAAAACACAACCCAAGAGGGGTTAAACCTCCCATCACGTTCAATGCTTCAAGAAATCAAAAAGTGACCTTAAATCCTATGCATATGCTATCTGTAGGTTATTAGGATGGATTACGCCAAACTTGGGGAGATATCCTGGTCTTCAGATTTGAGTGTGCTGGGAAAATCCATTCCCATTGGCATCTGTGGGGGCGCTCACATGGTGGATGTTCCTCTCCTCCCGCTAAGATGGGCCTCAAGGCTACCCAGAGATATGTTAATAAGCACATTAAACAGTTTTGATCCTGACCATTCTCTGCTGGATAATGAAACAGAACTTACTACGTGCTGAAGGGGAAGGAAAGAAAGGTTAACTGAAACTGAAATACTTAGCTTTGCTTATTATTTTTTTATATATAGTTCTGATTTAGAAAAAGCATATTTCTTTGCAACAATTAAGCAAAAAATACTTATGTTTATGGCCTTAGACCATTGCCCTAGAAACTGTAACTTTAACTCTTTTTTTTTTTTTTTTTTTTT